ATTTGAGACAGGGTTCTCAATGACCGCTCTAGTCATACTAGGTTGATGATGAAACATTGCTCTAGATATTTAGCCAGCGTGGAGTACTTCCACGCTACTAGATCCATGCTAGACAAATCTTCCACGCGTTCCGTTTTAGGATCGTGGAGATACGTAGGATTACTACTGCAACCTACTCTATCACACTTTATAGTCTCCCGCGGGAGACCAGATCTACGATCCCTTGATGATGATCTCTCTCGTTGATTAGTTTTCATAGCTTTCTAATCTCTCTCATAACTTTCATTCTCTCAAACTCAAAACACTCGAAAGATCTTTACACTAGCTTTTAGCGTAGTGCAACAGCCACTGCTTGTACCGTACTAGTACAGCCGTACGGACCAGTACAATCGTTTATGTGCAACGTTAAGGTTGGCCGGTCTGTATTTCGCACTGGTCTGACCAGCTGTTAGAAATACAGACTGGCCAGTTTGTTCAGTTTCCAAACCAGCTTGAACAGACACAGCTGCACCTCTATCATCTTCAAGAGGAGGGCTTATACATTTCTAAGCGAGGCTTCTCCTCTGTAATCCTCTATATTCCTAAGAAATCCTTGAATTAATCTAGAATGTCTTACTATCTTTACTGAAACTTGTGTTAAATCATCTAGTCCTCTTGGTACACTTCAAACCATAACCAACAGTTATGGTTTAAAGTAGGCAGCAGTATTTCCCTTTACCCAATCCCTAATAAATACTAGTGCATGCTTTAACCCACTGAAATGGCTTCAAGAAGGCCTCTTAATTGCAGAATCAGCTTTTGTACTCTTTGACACTATTCAAAAGAGCCAAAGTAAATTGCACGAGCCACCCCCAGACCCCCTTCTACAGTACTGGTATGTTTAAATCGTGAGGTGACCTCACGGTTAATTCTTCGAAAGTTCGCGCCATTATTCTCGCCTCCATCATGAGCGATCTGCTTGTTCTGGACTTAGATCATGTTGGTGATTAGAAGAGTTTCTCACCATCGCTGAGCCACACGAATCGAATCACCCGATACACAAAGCTTTGGAAACCACAGCTACTTCCGCTGAACACAAAGGACAATGATACGATTTCTATTGAGCTGGTCGACTCTTTGGCTGTGTGTAGCTGTCATCGAAGCGGGTGGTTTCGATGTCTACTACATGGGTGATGCATCCTGCAGCCAAGGCGGATATGAATTGCATCTGAACGCACTTAGTGTAGACTGTGGGAACGGCAATGGCGGATCATGTTCCTTGAGCGAAGGGGACGAGCTGGATATCTCGGCAACATGTAAGTCAGGTGGAGCGATGTGAGGTAAATGCTCTGGTTCCATCCTCACATGCTCAGATACCATGATTGTCTCGCTAAGTCACAACACTATACTCGTTTCCAGAAAAATTTCGATTATGGGCAAAGATCTGCACTCCGTATGGTGAAATTGATTCGAGTGGTTGCAAGATGATCACCTACAATACCCTCATTTATGCCTGTGATTACTTGGGTGGTAATTGTCCCTATGCCGGAACATACAACGCCGAAGCCACCTTGACTCTATCCGAAAGTACCGTGGAGTACTTGCAAGATACGGGCTATGAAAGTTTCATGATCGTCCTTCGGGCTTCCGCAAGCGGATACCTGTCCAATAATGCCTATGGCGTCTCCTGCAGTATACCACTAGTGGCGGCATACAACGATGAAGATGATGATGGGAACTCTGAATACTACAGTTCTGGCAGTTACTACCAGGTCAGTTCCGTGGGGCTGGTCTTTGTTCTACTGAGCCTTGTTTCCATGTACTTGTATGGAGGGAAACAGCGGCGGCAATGTGCGACACAGGCGAGAGAGGAATCGGACGAAAAGGCTTCAGAGTTTGTCCTGAGCTGATATGCCGGAATCGCCTACACTTGATAGCAATTTGCTTTCTTGGGGTAACTGTCTGGGGCATATACCATACATGCATGAGCAATGGCACTGGAAGGGTCAGTCAGCTAACAACACACAAAACACACTCTAAACACACGTACAGGCCCGCAGAGAAAGGCCTTTCCTTGGCACTGACGGGTCAGCTCCAGGTTTTGGTATCGCTCGTCGCCAGTCTACATGTTCCTTGGAGGTTATGTTCGACCGAGAAACCGAGGATCGATAAAGCTTCATGTTTGTACGGTTCAAGAATCATCTCTTCTACAATATCCCGCATTACCAGTAAGCCTAGCTAGCCCATTAGTTGTTCAGATAAATGTTCCAATTGAGGCATGTTGCGATGAAAACCCATCCACAGGTAGGAAGCATGAACTTCCCAGCTTCTTGGTCAACACCAAAGAACAGGTAAGCACTGCTTAGGAGAGCTGCAAAGAAAACAGTAATTACCGCAGCCCCCTTTCCCGTGCATTGATAACCAAAGAAAACCTTGTTCCAGGCATCACCAAGCGAAAGGTGACCACAGTACAAGGCCAAAACATCCCACGGAATCGCTTCGCTGGCTTTGAAAAGCTTTGAAAGGGCCATGGCCTGAGTTGGCTTGCTAACAAGCAGCCACATAATGGGAAAGACAAAGCCAGGAGGATTCCAAGAGGGTTTCTTGAGGTTGGCGTACCAATTCGAGTCACCAGGAACGACATTCGGGTCTAAGGCTTGCTGCGTTGCAACGCTCATGCCACCGTCCACAAAACTGCCGAGGAAGCTGGAACCAAAGACCACAAATAGAATGGATGCCCAATAGGAGATGGGCAGACCAAAAATCTCCCCGATACTGGTGTTTTCGGCAACTTCCTTTCCAGCATAAAACACAGTCAAGAGGGCAGCGGTTTCAAAGGCGGCACTGGCAGCTACCTTGAAGAAAACCGTGGAATCGGCATCACTGCAGGCACCCCCGCGAGAAGGCAGCTTGGTGGAAGTTGCATCCTTAAAACTAGTAGTTTCGTCGAGAGACGGACGATTCTCGGGTGTCAACACTCTGCTTTTGGACAGAAACGCCTTGCTGGCCGTGACAGCTGTTGGAATCGTTTTCGCCGAAGCCAACAGTGGCAGGAATGCCAGAAGGGCGACACAAGTGGAAAACCCAAAGCGCATGGTAATGAATGAGAGGCAGAAGCACTTGATTCAGATAGTATAAAAGGTGGCGTTAGATAGTGCAGTGCAGCAGGATAAAGAAGCACCGAGCGATCATCGATTGCTTGTGTCTTGTGGGTGCATTGTTGCGGCTTGGCATCAATCAGACAAAAGATCTCGATGACGTGTTCTGTCATATCGAAGATCAGACTTCCCTCCAAAAGATTTCGGTTCTTCACAATTCGATCTTTCGGTCGACTCCCACAGCCCCCTAGTAGTAGTACAGGCTGAATCTAAGCTATCGAGACAAACGCAAGCCCACTCCCGGTAAGACATTCGAATGCGAACCGGAACCTCTTGGAACGTTCCTCGAAAAGACTTAGGGGATATATATAGCCTTAACCTTAATCTTAATCTCAACTGACATCACTGGCCTGGGATCGTTCGATGGATCCAAGCCACTCGTACCGGTACACCTCTTCTTCTTTCATTATTTCGATACCTCTATCTTTATTGACTCTATCAAGATGATGCTACTATCTCCTCTTCTTTACAGCGGCTACTCCTCTTAACAAAGGCTACTACTCACCACCATGACAGGATCCTCTCGTTTGGTTAGTGGCAGTAGCGGCCGATCGTCGTATCGACAGGAGCTTCCGTTCGATCGATCGGCCGACGGATTCGGTGACTGATGACTTCTTCTTCCACGGAGCGACTCGGAGCGACCATGACACCTCCTCTTCGAACGGAGCGCTACTACCACAACAACAAGCGGCTATGGCTAACGACGCCTCGACAATGGCACGAAACGACGGATCGAACGAAACGAAGGATCGGCCGATGATCTACGGAGCTTCCGTTCGACGGATTGATCCGCCGATGACTGATGACTGGCTCTTCCACGGAGCGACCATGACGCGAACGACGCGACGCGGAGACCTACTACTATGTTGTCGCTGTTGTTGATTTGGATCCCATCCATTGCCTTTGACAATTCCCCTGTGGCCACATCCTTTTTCTCCACATTGTATCTCTTGCAGATGACTGCTTTGATGGCATCAAGGGTCAACCAACAGTCCTTGAAGGGAGAGACATTGTCTGTGCAATACACGGCTCTTAGCCTTATTCGCGACTCGATCCTAGATAGGGTTTGAGTTCGACTCATGACTCGGGTTACGGGGAAAATCATTTGTCAAGCAATGAAGTGTGCAGGAATTCTTTTTCTTGGATCCCCGACGTTGTAAGGGCCTATCAGGTCAATACATAGTCTTTCCCAAGGGATCTCCTCGCAAGTCTTTGGAGGCATCAATCCCAGCTTACGCGTCTTGGGTTTGTTCATCTGGCAGCTTTGGCAACGCTGACATACGGCCTGCACAGTCCTGCGCAGACCCTTCCAGGGTAGTGTTGGCTGTGTGGTTAGCTCCGTGCGAGTCTCGCCAGATGCATCTAGCACACCATGGTACCATTCAACTAGCTTTTCTGCATAGTTTTAGGTACGACGATTTCTCGTCCTTGACTACTAGTCGTAGGACTTATCCCTCTGGGGAAAGTTTGCTTTCTTGTATGCGTTTGGCTTGTCCCTGAGGAGCTTCTTGATATCGTGTCTTCTTTCTGACGATGTTCGATCTCAGGGAACGAGAGAGGGAACTCGCTAGGGAAGTCCTCTTCTCTGCAGCCATGAGCTCACGATCTCGCTGGCGTCCATCTGTTCTGAAGAACCGTCGTTGTTGGAGATGTTAAGTCTCGAAACCGCATCAGCGACGATGTTCTGTTCGCCCTTGATGTACCGTAGTTCAGGGCCGTATTCTTCCAAATAAGGCGCCATCGCATTACGCGATCGGTATTAAGTTCTTCATGTAAGATTTGTGGTCTATGTACAACGATCTTCTGTCTAGAAGAATGTTACGGAACCCTTTAGAGTTTCTACATACTGAGAATCCTTCTCGGTAACTGTGTAACGTGTCTGGCAGGGTGAGCTTCCTCTGTAGAACGATAGGTTTTCCCTTCTGGAAATTACTGCACCTAGTTGGTATCACTCGCATCCGTGTGGATAACGAATGTGTCATTGAAGTCAGGGTAGGCGAGCAAGGTTTCTTTGCTGATGATCTTCTTCATCGGCTAAAGGCTTGTCGTGTCCGCTTCCCATTTCCACTTCTTGTTTTGGAAGTCAACGAAGCGAGTGGGGCCAGTACAGTGATCGCTAATCCACATGTCTCGATAGTAGTTACTAGTCCAATGAATCAACGGAGTTCCTTCCTGTTGGTAGGAGGAGCGATATTCTGATCGCGTCTATTTCTTGGTTTTATGGTTGGATCCCTTCTCGATAATCCAGTAACCTAGGTACTCAGTTCTCCTCTTGCGAAGAAGGACTTGGTAGCATTGATCTTAAGTCCGGCTTCTCGAAGCCTTCGGAGAACTTCATCCAATTTTCAACTGATCTGCTAGATCGCCGTTAGTTAGGATGAGTAGATACATCAATGTATGCACGGACGTATCTAGGTCGTGCATTAGTGTTCCCATCTTCTCTTGGAAGATGTCGGGACTATTACATAGGCCCATTGGCAACCTCTGGTACTCGTACTTTCCCATGGAGTACGATGGTACAGAGTTGCTTCGAGTGAGGTGACAGCTCGATGTGATAGTATCCATTCAGGTCTAGACTAGTAGCGTACTTGAATCTTCTAGTTCAGAGCATGTCTGTATTTTTGGGATGGATAAGTCGCTTAATCCTTTTGTCCAGTTCCCGGAAACAAGATGAATCGTACAGATCCATCTTCTTGGGAATGATGAAAGTGGTGCCGCCCACTCGGAACGGTTTACCTTCTTGAGTACTCCTGCCTCGCAAAGACGTTCAACCTCCATTTTAAGTGTTGGTATGAACCCGTGGAATAGGATAGCTCTGGCATATAGGTTTAGCATCAGGGAGAAGTTCTACTTCGTAGTCGTCCATCTGCCACTTTCCTAAAGTACCATCGAAATAGGTCAGAGTACTTCGTCAGTAAGGAATGAAGCTGTTCCTTCTCTTCCGTGTTTAACTGATCTTGACTTTGGCAAACCTGTTAAGTCAGCTTGTTCGTATTTCGCATCAAGAATCTTTTTGAGACATCTGCACTGTCATCAACAGCGTAGAATCAGGAATGAAAAAGTTTTCTTCTTCATTGGTTCGCTGTCTTCTAGGAATAGATGCGCCGTCCCATTCCACTGACATAGTAGTGAAATCGAACTTGAAACTAAGTCAGAGAGAAAATCTCGACCTATGATCATGTCTACGCCCCCAAGCTCTTGGTGACGTGTAAATCCCACTCGATAATTCTATCTTCGTGGAATTCAGGAATCATGAATGCACCTTTGCACTTCGTGCTGGTGTTTAATTCTCCCTGCAGGGGTAGCCCACATCGTTTGGACGCCCCCAAGATCCTTCATGCGTAATTTCTTAGCATGAGGTTGAGCAATCAAGTTTCCGATGCTCCTGTATCCAGTAGCAACGGATTGTAACGGGTTTTGGTTTCCCTTTTTCTCGCTTGTTAATTCTAACATAGACGATGGGTTTGAGGTCTCTTGTCTTGCGACGTTTACGAGGTGGTTGGCCACGGACGAGGTTAACGATGCTAAATAGATCATCAGAGTCAAGTTGAGCAGCTTCTAGGCAATCATTTAATTTGCCGTAGTGTTCATCAGTTGCAAACAATTCTTGTTTACTAGTTAGTGAGATATCTTTCATCACTTTGGTATGAAGAAATCGGAACAGGGTTCCGTTGAGTCATCATCCTGGCTAATCCTCAAATAGAGATTTCTCCATCCAAGTGATTGAAATTGATAGAGGAGTTGTCCTCATTGTCAAGTCTTCTGATTTGCGCTTGGCAACATGGTTGCGAAGTTTGCAAGTGGTGCACGAGTATCGTCGATCTCATGTTCTTCGTCATTGTCGAGAGAGGAAGAATGGGTTTGTCACGCAACTGTTTCTCGAAGTTGCGAACGCATGCTTTCCTTGAGCCATCTTCATGGTGAAGGAAATAGATTGAGGGTAGCTGAAGCTATTGTGTTTGTTAACAAAATGCACTACGCTAAAAGCTAGTGTAAAGATCTTTCGAGTGTTTTGAGTTTGAGAGAATGAAAGTTATGAGAGAGATTAGAAAGCTATGAAAACTAATCAACGAGAGAGATCATCATCAAGGGATCGTAGATCTGGTTCCCGCGGGAGACTGTAAAGTGTGATAGAGTAGGTTGTGGTAGTAATCCTCGTTTCCACGATCCTAAAACGGAACGCGTGGAAGGTTTGTCTAGCCTGGATCAAGTAGCGTGAAAGTACTCCACGCTAGCTAAATATCTAGAGCGATGTTTCATCATCAACTAGTATGACTAGCGCGTCATTGAGAACCCTGTCTCAAATGACTATTCACGAGAGACTT